GGGGGGGGGGGGAATCTATGCAAAAATCTGCTACTACACCAATTTCTTCACATCTCTTCTCAAAGCACACCTGTGCCTTGCCAGCCCCAGCAGCAACAGAGCGGTTCGAACAAAGCACTTGTGTCTTTGTGCTCTTCTGCTCACCCTGTCCTTCTCATCCTGCCCTTCCACTCCCTGTTTTCCAAGGGCAAAGTCCATATCTATTTCAAGGGGTACAATGCCAACATCCATTTCTGAGGAAGAGTTGTGAGGATTACTGTAAAAAGGCACACACCCAGTAGCACTGCAGGCTGGGGTCCCATCTCTGCTGTGGATACTGAATTTTTAAATGCTCCTGGTTTTGTGTTACCACACCATTTCTGCTGCCTCCTGCCCCCAGCCCAAGGGGCCAGGCCCTTCTGCCAGCACTGTGTCACACACTGCAGGGACAGGGATCTGCTCCACCCCATCACCTCTATGCCTCTCCACGCTGACCTCCCTAACCCCCTTTTCCAACTATTGTTTGGTGCGTTCCGCTCATCCCTCTGTCCCACCTCCCCATTCAGAAAGACACAAATTAAATGTGTCTTAATACTGATCTCAGCAGCAACACAAGAGCAACTCCTCTTCCTCCCCAGCTCGAGCCTCCAGATCCTTCCCATGGCTGCACGTGGAAGGTTTCTGCTGGAGCTCGGCTATCCCTGCCCACTTACCACAGCTGGGAAATGAGCCCACCCCAGGCCTAAATCAAGACCTCTAGCTCAGCTTTAGGGTCTCTCTGGCTCATTCACCGATGGAGACGCTCGCCCACAGAGTTACACAGACGCATTTGTCGACCTCCCCAGGAAAGCCATGCATGACGTGCTCCTGCTCCCCCTCCTCAGTGTCCCCCTGCGCCGTGCGGGAGGGACGCACCCAGGGCCAGCCACAGCAGCTCCCATCCCTGCTCCTCAGGGGGGCTGTGAAATTCGGCATTTCTCTTCCCACTCCTGGGAGGTTTTTGTCTTTGTGCAATTGCTCTTCTCCTCCTGCCTTTCTCAACACAGCCGGGAAGAGTCAGGCACATCCCTGCGCTTCCTGCCCACCCTCCTCAGAGCCTCCACCAGTTTCTCGCTCACCTCCCGGTTTTTAGGCACTTAAAAATAGCTTTTTTTTACATAGCTTTTACCTTCTGATGTAATTTTACTTCTATTTACTTCTCTTGCTTCATTTTAACCACCCAAACACCAAACTCTCACCCAGGGTCACTTACACCAGGCAGGTCCCCTCTTGCAACAGCACTTTGCCCCACAGCCTCTCCAACCCCCCAGTACATTTCTTGCTGGATTCCAGATCTTACAGCCACTGCACCAGACTAAGAGGCATCTGTCTCCAGACACTCTTCCTGTTTTAACACCCTCAGTTTCACCCAGTGCTCCACTGCCTCACACCACCACCCTCTGCACCAGCGCCTAGCGCAGCTCAGCCACAGCAGACACCAAGGCAGCAGCTCTGGAGATGAGACTCTTGGCAATCCTAAATGGAGCAGCTTAAGAAAAATGACGTCTGGTTCATGAAAGCTCACCTGTGCACACAGACAAGGTCTGTCTGCAACATCCTAGGTCTGATGGGGGGCGGAACCTGAGTAAAAGGGCCCCCCACTCCCCCCCAAGCACTGTCCTGGCTGGAGTCCCATTGCAGGTGTTCTGCAAGGGCCCGCAGCTCCCCACCACTCCCTCAGCACCTCTGCTGAGGGACTAACTATCATGCAGACCCTTGCCTTCTCCCAGGCTCCATTTCCCAATCAAACACCGGTCTCCCTGCTACTCTTTGCATCATGCACAGAACAAGCGGCACAGTCACCAAACCTCACCCAACCCTCCCCACGGGAAAGGGAGCACAGAGCATCCAAAACCCCATGGGTTTGTGAGATTTACCTCTTACAGCCATCCTAAGCAGTAGTGACTCCCCCCTGCCAGGCACACAGGAACCCTCCCTGCTCCTGCCTGCTGTTATCCCTGCCCCATCAGAGGGTAAGTGCAGGCACATGAGCGGGTGCCTGGGTCCAGCTGGTACTGGCAGCAGCTTATCTCATCTAACTCACCTCCCCGCCTGTGTTTGGTGTTACAGCCTGTATGACAAACCCAACAGCAATCTGGGGAGGCCTTTAGGACTTGTTCCTGGCAGAAAGAAAATCAATGGTGCAACCCCAGCAATGCACTCAGGCCATCCCGGACGGACAGAGAGCCCTTCCCTTAAAGCTCGGCTTTAAACCTGCATGGCAGCAAGTCCCCGGGGCCAACTGTGTCCCTGCTCATCCCAGCTGCGGGAGATGCCCTCCTGCACCTCAATCCCGGGGGGGCTCCTGCCCCACGGAAGGTGCTGTCAAGGCTGGGTGGCTGCTGGATCTTTTTTGCAGGGCCCTTTGTGGGATGCCCACTGTGGGACCCTTTGTGGGACCCCCTTTGAGACCTCCACTGTGGGACCCTTTGCAGGACCCTCTGAAGGACCCTTTGAGGGACCCCCACTGTGGGACCCCCATTTCAGAAGCCCCTTTGTGGGACCCCCTTTGCAGCATCCTTTTCAGGACCCTTTGTGGGACCCCCTGCAGACCCACCCCACCGTGGGTGCCCTGGGGGGTCACAGCTCTTGGCACAAGGGGCAGACACCGCAGTGGAAGCACCGGGTGAAGCTCCTGGGGTGCTGGGGCTGAGCCCAGGCAAAAATCGGGGCTAAAGACGACAGGGTGAAGTTGGGCACGTGGGGGTCATCTCGTAGGGGGAGAAAGCAAAAGTTTTCAACCATTTTTAACAGAAAATGGCCGATCAATGGGTCTGTAGTATTTGTGAGAACACCATTGATTTCATTTTCCTTCCTTTCTTAAAAGAAGCTTTCATTTAAATCTAATAAAGGAAAAATCAGTCTTTCATCTTTTTTCACGGTTTTCACATAAAGCTGCTCAAACCACCCACAAAAACTCTAAACAGAAAAACTGTTTTCGCTGAAAATCACAACAACTAAAATTATTCATAAAACTGACCCAGAGCATTTGTCCTGTACCAGGCCTGAGGATTTACGAGTTCATCTTGGTTTCGTTAAACGCTGAGCTGGGGCTGAGCGGGGGGTGGAGGCGCGAGGGGTCTCCCACGCTCTGCCGGGGCCACGACAGCTTCCCTGGGTGGGACGAGCTGCCCCACACCACAGCCGGGCTACGACACCAGCTACACCCAACCCCAACCTCACCAGGCCCGGTCAAGGTCAAGAGCTGTGGGACGCGGGGGACACGTACCTGACCCTGGCTCCACGCCGGCCACCGCTGCCCAGCCCGCCCGCCTCAGCCTGTGGCAGAACCGAAAGCACTACTTCTTGCCTCAGAACTGGCATCTGACGCAGATAAACTGGACTTTAAATAGCGAGACGAAGTTCTGAGAAACGTGGAAGAGGATGCGTGGCGCAGGGTTGCTGCGACCAAATAAACTCCGCTTTTTTAAAGAAATCAAAACAACGTTCAAATTCATTCAGTCAGCGTCTCCACGTTAGATACTATCTAACTCCATTTTTAAGGAGAACTTTTTTCTCTAGAGAAAAGAACTACTTCTTGTAAGTTGGTAAGAAAGCAGAAGTGCTCCCTTCAGCCCTGAATACGCTTCCCAACAAGGAAAGACATACAGTATATCACGTGTAGCATGTGAAGTGGTTCTGGGCGGAGAAATGATCATCTTCGGGGGCTCTGAGTTAAAAAGAAAAAAAACCCACACAACCTACAATTTGCAGCATGCTATAGATAACATTTTCTAGTAAGATTAGGTGGAAAAACAAGTTGGGAAAAACGACGACGTCAGGTCTGTGTGATAGATAAGTGTGTCGGGGAAAGGAGCAGCACCCGCTTTGTCTGATCATGTTAAACCCTTCCCTGATCGATCTGTTGATGCTTCTTTTTGTGATTCTTACCCCAATCGTTATGTTCATTGGTGAGAAGTAAATATTTATGTTTGTGGCCACCAAGTTACTGGCAACCTCTGGAAGGGAAAAAGGAATGTTTTTTAATTAACTGGAGATTACTGTATCTGCAGAATAAATGTGTAGGGCTCATGAAGGCGCCTGGTTCACCCCTCCCCATCGCCAGCCCTGGGACGTGGGAGCAGTCGGTGCCACTGGCACATTTCCTGGAACCCGCCAAGGCCGAAGCTGAGCACAAAACTGTCTCTGGGTGTTCAAATGATGTCCGCAGTGCTCGGCTTTCAAGCCCATAATTTCTCTTCCTGGTCCCATGTGCAGCTGCCACCGAGGCTGGGCTGTTTGCTGGAAATGGGGCAGCTCTGGCCCTGTCACGCCACAGGCTCTGCCCGGCCACCACCCCCACTCCAGCTGCGGGAGCCATCTGCAACCGCCACATGTGACACCAGCATTGATGCCCGCCTGGCACCCGACGTCCACAGGGAACCTCGGCTCTGTGGGACAGGGATCAGGCACTGCTCTGCACCTTGGTGCCCGTCTTCCCCCACGAGCAGGTCACTGCTCTGGCCTCACTGTCACGCACTCGCTGTTTTTATCTCTGAAATGCAGCAGCCGCATCTGGAAGGGGGATATAAATATCGAGGCTGAGCACAGGCAGGGGCTCTCCCTCCCAGGTCAGATCCTCTCTCAGCTCCCACCAGCCCTCTGGAAGAAGATCCGTGTGTTGGACTTGGGGTGGGTGCAGTGCGGTGCTCTGTTTCTTAGGAAAGACTCCCTGCAGTGGGCACAAAATGTTTCAGCTGATGGAAGTGCAGGGTGAGAGGGGTCATTCAGCCCATGAGCAGCAGCAGCAGCCGCCGCAGCCGTTCACTGTGGAGGGACAGAGCCACCGTCCCAAACACTGCTGTGGCTTCCCAGCACCCATGTTGAGCTGGGACATCCCGCTCCTGCTTCCCTTTCTGCTGAGAATCCACTTTCCTCCTCCACCCGAGACCGAGCCTCCATCCCTCCATCGTTGCTCCCCACCCCCAGCATCCTCCGCTCTTCCATCCCTCCGTCGCTCCCTCATTCTTCCCGTTTCCCTGGCAACGCCCATCTCTCGCTGGAGATCTGTCCCCTCTCTCCCTCTTATCTTTCTCCTTTCTCTTTCATCTATCTCCTAATCTCCCTCTCTATTCCAAACCTCTGTCCTTTGCTTCCTTTCTTTCTCTCTCCCTTTTCATCTCCTTCAATGTCTTCTATATCTCGGGGTTACAATTATTTGAATCTCACTTTAAAAAAAATTATCTACTTCATTAACCGCCGTGCCACCAGCTCCCCTCCCACTCCTCCTGTAGCCCACCCGCAAGCCTTGGGACTCCTGCCTGTGCCTGAGCCCCCAGTGTGCACCACTGCCAGGGGACAAGGAAGTTACCATGTTCTGGCAAGGCCCTTCCAACCTTTCTCCGATGCCCTTCAAACAAAGGGGAAGCAGAATTCTCCGCTCATACTACAAGACGTTCAGGATCGGGCAACCAGATGCCCCTCCTGAGCTGCAGCAGGGCTCACCCACCCGCATTCCGCCGTCGGGGCGGCGGCGCAAGGTGTTCCCGCTTTGCTGTTAGCCCAGAACCACTGTTTGAGCGGGAGAGGAGCAGCCCCAGGCATGCACCGACACCCTCGGCCTTACTTTCCCCCGCAGGAGCCAGCTGCTGGGTGCTGGGTGATCACCAGCCAGCTCTGACCCCGTCCTCCGGCCTCTCTCTAACACACCAACAGGAGAGATGGTGCCTCCCAGCCAGCGCCTGTTCATGGGTCTTAGATTAACCCTCAGCTTCTACTTTATTCCAAAGCAACCAGGGCAACCTAAAATTAACAGGGAAAAGATGCTTTCTGAAAATCAGAGTCGAATTGCATCAGTTTGGCCACGGGGACGTGCTCCTCTGGGGTCTGGAGTATGGTAGGTAAGGAGCAGGGTAGGCCCTGGGTGACTTGGCAGCATAGGGTCACTTCCCGGGGACCCCCGTTTTGTGGCAGGCAGAGCAGCGAGGAGCCCATCAGAGCAGGTTCATTACCACGAGTGCTTTCCCTGAACCAGAAGAGTCTCCTCACAAAACTGCTGTGCACAGAGGGACCAAGCCAAAGCAAACGCTGGGGCCAGTGCTCTGCTTCTGCCCTGGGACTGTAAAACGCCTTCACTCCTCGAGCGGCTGAAGCTGCACCACAGCCTGCTGGCAGTTAACGCCTGCAGCAGCGGGGGACTCTCATCGCCCCCCACATCTGCCTTCCTGCAGGAACTCCTGTTGCTTTGCTACTCAACACAACACCGCCTCTTCTTTAGAAGACCAAACTGATCAAGCTTTATGCCAGATTTATCAGCCATTCTTCCTAGGCAGCTCTTCTTGAAGCAAGATGATGGAGCTGCCAGGAGAGCTCTGAAAATGAGCTGCTGGTGGCACCGAACTGTGTCAGGGAGCTCAGCCTCATCCAGCTGAGCGAGGACCCTTCCCTGAGACCTGACCGGAATCGCTGTGGCCTTATGGACGCATACGAGTCCCTTCCCACTCTTCTACCATGGGAGGGCCTGAATCCATGGAGCCCCGGCACCCCGTGTCCATCAAGTGCAGAGACTCTCCGCAGCCAACGGCTGCCCCGGGACCCGGCATCGCTCCCCAGCGCAGGGCTCTGGCACGTCCCACACTTCCCCATGGGCTGCTTGTGCAACATTTCCCCTTCAAAATGACTCAAATGTGGCCTCTCGTTCCCCATTCAGCCCCCTCCTCCCCATCGCCACACGGGGACACACGCCGCAGTGAAGAACTCTTGGGATCTTGCCTTCAGAGCTCATTGTCCCAGCACATCTTAAAATGCTGCTGCTTGCTCGCACAGGAGCACCAGAGACTGAAATAGCAATTAAATACAAGTAATTGGTGTCTGAAGGGGACAGCGAGCCCAGCTGGAGCCAAAGGAGAGGGGCTGCTCCTGCCTGGACTCCCCTCTCCCGGCACGAGCACCCACACCCCAGCCAAAGCAGCACCGACCCGCAGACCCCCCCGCGCTTCACAGGGCTCTGGGTATTTGTCAGGAGTTTGGGACTGACGGTGTTTGTGGTGTGGAGTGGGGAGAAATCCCACCACGGCCAGCCCCGCTGCTGTCCCAGACTTGCTTCAAAGGCTGCACACAGAAACCTCACTCTCCCTTGGAAAACAATTTTTGCTTTTAAGTGAAATAAACAGGGAAAGAAAAGACTTTCAAGTTCCTCCTTGCTGCAACGACTTCGCTTCGACATACTCCCTTTCCTCTCCGAAAATAGAAGAGCTATTCAAAAAAGATGCGAGAAGAAAAAAGGAACTGAATAGAGGAAAAAGGAAAGAAAAAATGGAGCCCCAAGGGGGTGGAGAAAAACAGAATGAAAAGACAGCAAAAGTAAAGAAAAGGGATGAAAAATAAAGGAGGGGGAAGAGAGAGACAGACAGAGAAGCTTTGAAAAGAAAGAATGCTCCCAGCCTGAATACAGTGTGCACGAAAAAAAGAGCGCTTGAAAAGAAACAGCCAGATGAAATGACCTCTCATTCACAGCCTGTGCCAATCACCACCACAATGTAAATCCTTTCTTCTTTTCTGCATTCTCTCTCTTTCCAGCGGGGGCAGAGGGAAGAGGAAGAAAGGGGAGTTAATTCTCAGCATAGCAGAAAATAAATCTGCTCTTTGCTAACTCCCTGAAAGAGACGCCGAGCTACTTTTAAAAATACCTCTCCCAGTAATCACACATGCAGATATGTAAAAAAAGTAAATGAAATTCTGCACTGAGCGGGTCTGGGAAGGACTGTCCTCACGCAGAAGGTCCCCCAGAAGAAAAGGCACCACACTGTCCCTTGGAAAAACCACAGAGCAAATATCCAGAAAAAACAGATCTGTAGAAACAAGTGTGGCCATGAAAGCAACTGGCGCCAGAGATTCAGGTCAAAACCCAAACCCTGCCGAGAAAGATGAGGGATGGTCATGACAGAAGCAAACCCAAGGGCCTGGTTCTGGGCCAGGTGCTGCGAGTGCAATGGGTGGGCTGGTGCAGCCCCCAAACCTGTCTGCAAAGCCCAGCACCGTCCCGTTTTGTTCAGTGTCTTCAGCAGAGGTGGGAGGGAAATAGACCCTCACGCGTGGAGGTGAACCCCAAAGCGCAGTGAGGAGAGGGGCACTGGGAGAGCACTGAGGGGAAAACACTGACAATGGAGCCCCCCAGGACAGCAGGGTCCTCCTGGGATGGAGCAAAACCGAGCAGGAGGCAACAAGCAGCCCGGGTTCCTGCAGGCAGCGAGCTCGCTGTGGGCTCACAATGCTGCCGGACAGCAAAGCCGGCCCAGGCGGCCGGTGAGAGCTCGCGGCAGGGGGAGATGATGCTCCTGGTCCAGCAGCTGCTCAGCATCGCTCCTGCTCAGTGTCCCCCGGTGCCAGGGGTTAATCATAAACCACGGGGACCTCAAAGCAGAGCAGTAAAAGGGGCTGGGAGTCGGAGGAACCGATATGCAAGTAGGAGGTTGGGCACCCGCCTGTGTATAACCCAGCTGGCTGGTTGTAGAAGGGGAAAAACAACCAAAATGTTGTAAATGGGAGATGTGTGTCACCCTGACGGGAGCGGGAGTTGCTGGATGGGATGTGGGG